CTAACAAACCATACATCAATGGAAAGCTTATTTATTCAGATGATGTATAAATCTAAAACAAATTGACCCTTATGACTGGTTTTGTGGTCCAGGGTCACATATTATTTTTAGACGAGCATGGACTTACCCTAACCCTATCCGTCCTCTGCTTTCACTGACAGACGCGTGAGCGGAGGAGAAAAACCTACAAATGTTTGACTCTTTGGTCCTGGTGGAAGTGCTGAGATCGGTGCATTTTATTAATTCTTTCCACCGCGACATGAAAATAAAACAAGAGCCGAGTCCATAAATCAGCAGCATCTCATAAGCGAGAGAGAGAGAGCGAAAACACGTCTCTCAGCTCGGCTTCGCTCAACATAAACACTGCAGCGCTCCAGTGAATGCAGTGGGACTCAATGAGTCGGCGGGCCGCTGAAAGAGGCTGTTTGGGGAGCGATGGGTGGTCCTGCACACGCTCAGACCGAGTAAACCAACACCGGCTCTTACAAGCCTGCAGTCACCTCCCAAACACGCACGAATCTGCGCAGATCAAAGCGTGCTGACAGCGATTTACTGCTGTGGTCGGGTGAGTCATGAAGCCGCCGCGGGATGCCCCCTGCGCAGGAGATGCCAGCGGACATTACCGTCAGAGCAAACCAAACAGCCAACTCGGACTCCATCCATCACCGGCGGCTTTGAAGAGGATTCCATCGAGATATTGCAAATCATAACAGATGATCTGGAGCTGCACTACAACACGGGCTTGCATGAAGAAGATCAGGTCAATATTAAAAACCCCTTCAGTCTGAGCTCTGTGGAACATCATCAGACACAGGCTGACACAGCTTATTCAACTAAATAAGGACATTGCATGGACTTTTACTGTTTTTATATACAGCTAGTTATAAATACTATAAACTAAAACCAACTGAAAATTTTTTGCACTTTTAGAATTGAAAAAATTGAAAAAAAACTTTATTTACTTCATTTTTATAGCGTTTTTACTTTATAAAGAGGTTTTGGGAGGTTTAACATACAAAAATCAGCAAGTTTTTTTCCACACACTAAACAGAAAATATATATTTTATTATAATTTTTTTTTTTTAGATTTTTTAAAATAGATTTAAAAAATAGATATAAAATAATATTTTTTTAAATACAAAAAAAATACCACAATTTAGATTTATGCCATCTATATACTTTTATCTTTGTACTGGACTTATATCATCTTTACAGTATTTTTATTATATTTTTACACATTTTAAATACCTGTATTTTGACTCTTACTATCTTTATAGTGTATTGTATTACATATTTGCACATCGTAGGCACCTCTGTATATTTGCATATTTGATGCTTGTACCCAACATCTAACGCTAGTATTTCCATTCATGCACTTATGTTTATTCTGTACATGTACTCTCTTGTTTTTTATTTTGTATTCTATGTTTATACTTTTTTATGCATGCTTTGTTGTCTGTTTTAATGTTG